ATAATAATAATAATAATAATAATAATAATAATAATAATAATAATATTATTAATATAGATTTTTTTTTTTTTTTGTTTCTCTTTCTCTCGTTTTAATTAATTTAGTCATAACCCCCGCGCGCGCGCAAGACTCGCTAGCTAGCCCCGGCGCGGACGCGACCTAGGCGGTGGGTATGAAAAAAAATAAAAAAAAAAAAAAATACATATACATTCGTACACGCCCACGCTCGATCATCGATTAATCGGTTTAAAACGAAAACACAATATTCCTATATATATGTATTTCGGCTATACACGCGCGCGCGTACCTGCATACGTGTGTCCGCGTGTAATATTATACACATACCCGTTTGCGCGGTTATACTACGCGCGCGCGCGCGCACACACACACACACACACAGGAGAAACACCGCACGTCGATTGTATTAATTAATAATTTATCAAATTATAGACCGTTGCCGTCGCGCGCGTACCCACGATATCGTATAATATCGCGGCGCGGCCGATATTATAACGCGCGCGTTCCGTCCCCCCGATCCCCCGAAATCGGCGGGCGACGCTTCGTGTGAGGTTTCCTCCGCGAGATGGTGTACGCTGTATGCGGTACGCGCGGCCGCTACACGCGCGTTGTAACACACACACACACACACACACACACACATGTATAACCTACCCGGTACGCCCGAACTTTCTCCCGCGAATCGATCCGTACGCAACACAACACCATGGTATTGTCACGGTCGCCATGCGTGTGTGTATCGGCTTTTTACGGAATTTCGGTATGACGTACTGAAGGGGTGCGCACCGTTGTACCGTCGCGGGCGAAAAGCGAAATTATTCGCGTTCCGAACCGCGCGAGGGAGGGACATACGTATGTACGAGCACCGCGAAATGGCATCGCGTTCGGACAGACGGGAGTCTATGGATATTATATGCGTGTGATATTGTTTGTACGCGCGCGCGCGTGTCGCTCGACCTTTTCGTTTAAAAACGGAAAAAAAAATAATAATAAAAAAATCGTTTATTCGTATACGATTCCCGTGTGTATTTCCGCGTCTCAAAACCGCCGCTGTACAGTATAACAAGTGTATATACGTAGGGGAAATCAGGTATTTACGCGTGTAGGATAATATTCGATTCGAAAAAAAATTAATAACACCGTACGGTCTTTGATGACGACGATTTTATGACGGCAGATCGGATTTCGATCCACACGGAGTCACGCGTACCGTATGATGTACGACCTATACGGTTTTCGATTTCCGTATCTCCCTGCACCCCGGCGCAGTCCGAAATGTTCACCGACGAGCTTCGTCTGACGCGTCAGTACAATCAGTTCGTACGTGTATAGTTTGTATCTGTAATAAGCGCGCGCGTGTATGGTCGCCGTTTGGACGTTTAAATTAACGCGATCTAATATTATAATGGTTGTACCAGGACGGCGGCGGCGATGACGCCCGAAATTACGTTTTCATACGTATATTGTAAAACAACGAAAAAAACACGCTCGCAGACGCGTTAAAAATCTTGTTCGTAACATCGTCGTGCGCGGACACAACGAAAACGCGTCCAAATCGATAAACTCCGCCGGCGCGCGCCGTCGTACGGCATGTGTGTGTGTGTGTGTGTGTGTGTGTGATAAAATGATAACGCGTCACGGTGCACGTATAATTGTCGCGTGTCCCCGTCATCGTGTGCGACCGTACGCGTGCGTAAAACGAATGCTAATTCATCGGCCGGGCTCTGTCGGCTAATTATTTCATCGCGCGCGCAGGATTGCCCCGCGAAATCGGCCGCTCGCGAGCGAACTATCGCGGCGTCGAATCGGGACGAGTGCATTGCGTTATTTTTTCGCGTTTTCCACGAATATCTCTACTGTGCACGCACGCGCGCGGGTGTGTAACGGGGTGCAACGCTTTCACAACGATCGCCGCTGATAGGCGTAAAAATGTAAAACGGTCCTACCCCGTCGGACACCCTGTTCCCCGAGTACGCGGACGGTGTGTCGCGATCGATTTCGCATCGATTCGCCGCAACCGGTCCGCGCGTAGTGCGCGCGTATTGCGTGTGGGTAGGTACACGCGCGTACGTGGAAAAAAAAAATTAGAAAAAATCCGTTTGATTCCGCGCGGCGCGTGCGAAATAGCGAAACGGAATCTGGTTTCGCGAAATCCGCACGCGGCGTCATTTTATCATCACGCCTGCAGCGGCGTTACGTTGTACGAAAACGACCGACCGGACGGTCGAACGCCATCGCAGCCGAGTTGTACGATGCGGTGCAGTGCGGTGGTCCGCTGCGGCTGCAGCGTAACGTGACGTCGTGTTCGCCGTGGTAATGTGACGTTAGCTCGGCGCGCGTTTACGGCCGTTTTACGCGTTTGTTTGTTTGTTTTTGTTTTTCCCGCGTACGTACGGCACTCTCGTCGGCCGATCGCGCACGCGGCACGGCGGATTGTAAAGAGGGACGGGCGACGGGACACTCCGCGGGGAACCCGCGTCGGCCGAGTTCCGGTGCGAAAAGCGCGGGGCCGCCCCGACGCCGGTTCAAACGGGCCGCCGTTCCGGGCGCTTTCGGTCTTACGGCCCGCGACATTTACGCCCGGGGCCCGGCGGCGCGTTTGGCGCACCGCGCCGTCCGTCAGCGCGTTACGACGTTCGCGATCCGCGTACCGACCGGTGTTCAATTGTTGGGTGAGAGGTTGCCGCGTATCCCGCGCGCGTCGGTCGCCGTTGCCCGGCACCGAAATAGAGGAGCGACGAAACGGCGTATATACTTACCGATAAAAAAAATTACGCTACACACTCTATAATAATAATAACAGTCGAGTCTATACGCGTATACACACACACACACACACACACATATATATATATACACACACACACACACACAATAATAATATAACGAATACCGGATATTTCACAATTACTCGCTAATGGACATCACGATATCCGACCATTAGGTCTCGACACTACTATTATATGCGTACACACACACACATATGCGTAGTGTGCCGTCGCATCACACCCACTTCGCTGTCGAGTGCGCGCACAATACGTATATAGGTGTACGGCGTACGCGCGAAGAGCGTTGTTGTTGTTGTTGTTGTAGTAGTAGTAGTAGTAGCCGTAGTATTAATAGTAGTAGTGGTCGTGGTCGTAATAACGTAATATGTATTTCAAGGTGACCCACATCGACGCGATGGTCCGCGATGAGCGCGAATAATAATAAAACGAAGTGCGCGCGCGCGTGAGCGTGTGAAAAAAATAACAAAATCGCGGACGGAACGAACGGGGCGAAAAAAAAAATCGCGGTTTTGTTTACTCGTCATAACGATTCGGATTTTCCCCGGACGCGGTCGCTCGGCGGACGCGCGAACGGTTGTGACACCGGCGAGTCGCGCGCGTACGGAATCACGAATTCGCGGGGTTTAATTTTTTTTTTATTTTTTCCGACGATATTTTTTTTTTTGGTAATTTCCCGACAGTGCGCGTAATGTGCGCAACGACGACGAACGGACACCGCACGGTCGCGGGCGGAGGGCACATACCGGGAAACCGTACGGCGCGCGTGAAACGAATCGACGCGAGATACGCGCCGTGTACTTGTCGGTATTGTTGTTATCGTTACCGTCGGCTACGCGCGCGCGCGCAGAAACGATCGTATTGTAATTGCACGTAACCTGCGCGGCGCCGCGCCCCCGCGGACCCCGGCGTGCGTCTCGGCGCGCAACGCCGTAACACTCGCGGCGCGTATGTTATTATAACGTCTGCGTACGTACTTAGAAATCTGACAAACGAGCCGAACCAGTGCGTACACTACGCGTATATCCGAGTACGGTTTGGGGGAAAAAAAAAAAAAAAAAAAAAAAAAAAAATGGTAAAAAAAACCGCCGATTTGCATAAACGGCGCGGTCCGCGTATTTATTACACACGTAATACGTATACACACATACATATCTATGTGTATACAGATACGCGCGATCGGTAAAACGTCACAATGCTCCATTGATACGGTTGTTGTCGTTTTTTTTTTTTTTTTCCGTCGGCACAATAGACTACGAGGTTTGTTTTTTTGTTATTTTTGTTTTTTGTTTTTTTTTTTTTTTTTTTTTTTTTTTTTTTCATTAACTGCGGGCTTGTTTTATGTAGACCATCAAGAACGGCATTGTTTCCCCGGGAAAAAACGTCCTCCGGTTCGCTTTCGGCGTGTACGTAC